GCTTCATTAACACAGTCTGAGGCATCATTAAGATGTTTTGTTTTCTTACAGTTACAGGAATAAATTTAGCCAAGAACTCACAACATAAACAAACAAAGGGAATTGTATAATTTTTGTAGAAATGTAGGGGAAGTAAGAGGTCTCTACCTGAATTGTCTCTAGTAGTTTTTTTTTTAAGCTAAAGAATAGTTTACAGGGCTGATGGAACCACCACTCTCTCCCACAGAGAACTGGATATCTTCCTCTTGACAACTACAGCAGTAGTTTACAAGTCAAATTAATACTGGAATACTCTTGGAATTGTTTCTAGCTGCCTTAAATGTTGCTAACAAACAGATGGATATAAGCATAAGATCCACATAATCAGTAAATCTGGAACGAAAACATCTGGAATAGTAAGGATAATAATTTATGGGACAATCTCTACCATGTATTACAACTTGTTCTGCCTCTATTGCAGTTACGAAAAGAGAGATTAGGCTACTTAGAATAAATGGAAATACATTAAAATTTATCTGCCTAATTAGATTACTCCTTGCAATTGCTTCAGGTGGGAGAAGGAAGAAATCATTCAGTATTCTCTATGGTCCTCTTTTCTTAGCAGAACGTGCAATCTCTTTTCTTTCATGTTAGGGAAACACAGATTCATCTTCTTGTTCAAAACAGAGTATTTCCAGGTTAATACAATAAATGGTGTCGTTATTAGCTGTGAATGAACATGATTCATCCACCTGTCAAAACTGGTAAAAGGAAGGAAATTTAAAAAGTGCAGTTTATCAAATAGGGATGCACTTTAGACAGCCATCTATCCTCAGCTGGTTTTTGTGCAGTCTGTCGCTGTAACATAATTTTACCTAGAGGTTCATCAAACATCTGTTCTAATCACTCAGCTAAATTCAATCTTTTTTTCTGTGGCATTCCAGTCACCATGACATTTTAGACATCTCTATTCCCGATGATCACAGTACTTCTAGTGTTTTGCACACATGCATGATATAGATGAAAGCTATGTTCACAGAATGATTTCTCACAGAATTTCACTCTTTTACCTCTAAAGGACCCCATTGACATTTAGGCAAGTGTTAGAAAGTTGGTATTTTATATGTTATGGATACACTTTTCATTGAGTTCAATGATGCACTGGAATAATTTAACTATTTGTAATGTGTTCCATTCATAAAGCAGTAGCTGGCAAATCAGTTCTGATCATGTGTTCAGCTCTACGACCTCCAACATAAAAAGGACATGGACCTGTTGGAGTTAGCTCAGAGAAGAACTGCAAACATAATCAGGCGGTTGGGGCACCTCCCCTCTGACGACAGACTGAGAGAGTTGGGGTTCTTCAGCCTGAAGAAGAGAAGGTTCCTTACAGAGGCCTTCTGGTACTTAAAGGGAGCCTATAAGTAGGACTTTTTGTCAGGGAGTCTAGTGACACAACGAGGGGTAACCTCGTCTAGTGAGAAGTGCCCCTGCCCATGGCAAAGGGGTTGGAATTAGGCAATCTTTAAGGTCCCTTCCAATCCAAACTATTTTATGATTCCAGGATTCTATGGTTCTAGAAGATTATGAAAGGACAAAATTATGAATTAGATCCCCCAGAAGATAATCACACAAAGCTCTTATTCTCTGCAGAACATCTGCAGTCTAAAAATGGTATGTTTAATAACACAGGGGCTTTATATTCTGTTGCTTGACATTAAGGACAAATAATAAACATCAAGTTCTATAAAAGACATCATGGTTTGTTTATGCAAGCTTATTTTAGATTGGTATCTTAATCTTCTGTTAGTTGGACACATATATACATATATATATAAAATTTTAAATTTCTTGAATATTTTGTAGTAGTTTTCTCAATTTTGTATTAGTTTTAAACTTGCACATAAACTGGGATAGTATATATGAGTAGAAACAGTATCTGTTAAAAAGGTCTATTAAAAATGTTACAAATGCCAAGACTATAAATCAACATATTACCACTGAGTCTTGTCAAGTTACCCTAACTTTTAACATATTTTTCTCTTATGGATGTGTCACACCATGTATATTCAAGCATTTAGCTCAGCTGTATTAGCCAACCACAGACTGAAGGTTCCTCAATATGCACAGTGGAGAGAGAGGAGTTTCCCATCCTTTCCTTCACATCAAGAATATATGAGCAAGATTCACAGGCTGTCTGCAAAAAAGTACTTATGCTTATTCACATGCCCTTCATCATGCATTTTTGATGGACACCAAAACTCAGTTTATGGACTTCTGCCGCTGTATAGGCTTGTACTCCGCCAGGTTCTATCCAGAATCTCTTTTCAAATTTATCCTTTTTGGGAATTAATCCCAAAGCCATGATGATCTGTGAATTTTATATCTAGACACTTATTTTTAGCATTAATGGTCCTCCTTTTTTGTTTATCAGTGGAAGTAATTTGGCAATAAAGTAAAAAAAAAAACCCTTCTCAATACACATTCTACGTATATGTGCTCATGGAATACTTAATTAAGTAAATATTACCTCTATTTCAAAAAAAACCCCCACATAATGACTTCTGCTACTGTTGTATGCACTACCAATGTTTAGGGAAACAGAAGTTCCTCAGAATGTTTTGGAGAAGTGTTAACTACTCTTTATTCAAACAGAAGTGCATCTAAGGCCAGTAGTTCGATGAATTGCTAGCTGAAAGCATACCTAGCTTGTAATGGCTATGTTAAATTTTATTACTCTCAACATTTCTAAAAAGCAGCCATTGCTTTTAAACAGAACTTTAAGGTCCCTGGCTTATTTTTCTGTTCTCTCTGAACAAACTCAAGCCATAAAAAAAGAAATAAAAATTCAGGTTTCTAAGATCAACTGCAAAGTGACTAATAACCTAACAAATGTCTAAGTTTGTTTTCTCTTTAACCTGTTTCATTTCTTTCATCCTCAATAAAGATGATAATACTGATTTTCAAAAAAGATATTCTATAATGTATCAGGTTGTTTTTAAAATGCTTCTTTTGGTCCTAGGCATTAACTGACAAGCCCGCAAACATGTGTTGCCAGGTCTAGGCAGGAGGTGGCGTCCCTGACCAAAACAGGGAGGTTGGACTAGATGATCTCTAAGGTCCCTTCCAGCCTAGGCCATTCTATGATTCTATGATTCTATGATATCACATTTTTTTCCTATTCAGATAAGCAATTTAATTGTACAAATGTGCAAACTATTATGTCCATAAAAGTCTGTGTGGAGACATGTTTTTATTTGCAGCAAAAAGTAGAAGCCCCATGAAAAGCATTTGAATTACAGAGTACTATGTCAGTATATTAGTTCAGAGTTTTTTCCCTCCTGAAAGTTATCTGAAGAATAACAAATCATTTAGGAAAAAAAAGGCAACTAATAAGTGAAATTTAGTGTTAGAACTTGTGCGATTTAGTATAGTTTAGTATTGTTTAGTATAGTGTTGAGTACTGGGTTTCATAAAAGAAATGCCAAAGAGATGTTCATTAATCTTGTGAAAACTAAGTCATCCTTTAGTACAAGCTAATGTGAACCAGTGGTGTAAATTAAAACTCAATGCAGAGTTGCCAGACAAGTAATATTTTCTGTGTTTGAATGCCCAGAAATGCATCTCTTTTATTATAGATACTTGCCATAAAACTTACTGGCTCAATCTGTTAAAACAAAAAGTACCACACATTTATACAATCCAGTATTTTTCTGCCTTAAGCTTATATATACAAGAAAGTAAGAATTTAAATACAGTTCACCGAGGCATGTTTTCCTATATCAAACAAGATTTTTTATCTTTACTTACTGTATCTATGGCATGCTATTACCTTGGTTCTCATTTGCCCTGACTTAATCCAAAAGGCTATGGAAATCTAGCCTGATTCTATTCAGCAAGCCTGTTACCACATTTTTTAGTGAGAAACCTGTTCTACCACACTCCCTCATACAATTCTTCTGCTTGAAGTTGTTTTATCAAGCTATACAGACCTCTTCTTCAGGCAAGAGTGCCCCCTAAACTGGAAACATGTCAAAACTTTACACAATCTTAAGTGGACACACGTTGATTTTTCCAATTAAATTAAAATGTATATTTTAAAAACATTATAAAAAACACCTTCTAGAAGAAAAGGGGAGTTTATGTAAAAGGCTAATAGCTTTAATTTCTTAAGATTTTCCAGATCTCTCAGAATTGCAGTTTCGAATATTGGTGCTGGTATTTTTCCTATGTAGCGCCATTTTCACCAATATCAGCTGCAAAAAACCTCACACAGTTGGCACTTGCCTCTGCCTTCCCATTGGAACTCAGAGAAGGAGAGTGTTTTGTACTGCTCACCATGACAGATATTAGGAAAGATCCATGTTAATAGAGCAAGGAAAAACAAATATCCAAGTATGCAGCATTTATTTCTCATTAGAATATCAGGAAAATGTTTTCTTTCTGCTTTAAGATAATAATTAGTGAATTTCACTTGATATGATTTCACAGAGGCTTCATTTACTCCTCCTGATCCTTTGTTGTTGTTGGATTTTTTTGTTGCAGATGTTTGGATATTTTTTATAGTTGTATGTGTCAACTAGAGAGAAAAGTAATTTTTTTCATTCTGTCTAAGCATTCTTCTTCATTATTTTTGACAAATATAAGTTGATCTTCCTAGACTTTTGAAATGCGACCATTTCTATTAGATCTGTGGAAGATAACAAGGATTTATAGTGCTTTACATAACAGGCTAGAGCATCACTGAAGTGTAATAATAAATGTTAGAAGAAACAGTCATTTAAGGATATATTGAGAAAATGTCAACATTATTATGCCTGCTACACCGCAATCACATTTAGTTTCTTGTGTTAAAATATACAAAACTTACCTTTTGAATCACTTGTGAATTGTGAGAGTTTGTTTGCAATTATCGTTCAGAATTACTCATTTGTAAGAGTGAAAATATCACAGTGCTGTAAGCATTGTGAGATGAAAATCAGAAAGGATAGCATTTGATTTATAAACTTATAATCACTTACCTTCTCTGCTGATTGGGCCGTGCCAAAAAAGATTGGAATAAAAGCTAACCAAATTATGCAGGTTGTGTACATAGTAAATCCAATGGGTTTTGCTTCGTTGAAGGTCTCTGGAACCCCTCTTGTTTTAATAGCATAAACAGTGCATGTGACCATCAAGAGAATACTGTATCCAAGGGAACAAATGAGAGACAGATCTGAAATGTCACATTTGAGAACTCCCCTGGCATTTTCTGGTTCGAGTGTCCTCTGTTCTCCATAGTCTACAATGGTATGTGGTGGATCAATAGCAAACCAGATGAAGACTCCAATAAGCTGCATGGATATGAGGCTGAAAGTGATCACCAGCTGCGAAGCCGGACTAATGAATTTGGGAGCTGTGACAGATTTTTTACCTTGTTCGAATATTCTGTGAATCCTGTTTGTTTTGGTAAGCAAGGCAGCATAGCTGAAACACATACCAAGTCCTAAAAAGATCCTTCGAAATGAGCAGACTACTGTATCAGGAGTCGCGATCATTAAAAATGTAATGGAGTAACAGAGAAAAATCCCAGTCAAGAGCACATAACTGAGCTCCCGTCCAGAGGCCCTGACGATCGGTGTGTCATTGTACCGGACAAATGTCACAATCACAAAGGTGGTGGCAATTATCCCGAGAATAGCGATGAAGACGGGCACGATGGCCCAAGGAGAATGCCATTCCAGTTTGATGATAGGGATAAGCTGGCAATCCGTGCGGTTGGCATTTGGTCTCTTATTGATGGGGCACAGTTCACAGTTGAATTCATCCACCTGGTAATGGTACCCCTCACAGCGCTCGCAGTGCCAGCAGCAGGGCACTCCCTTCACTGTTTTCTTTCTTTCCCCGGCTTTACAGGGCAGGCTGCACACAGATGCTGGATGAGTGTGCTGTCTGTTAGCCCACTGCATATCTTCTACCTGTGGGTATAAAAAATTAATGAGCCTTCTATTTTCCCCCATTAATAATATCCTAATCCTGGCCACAGGTTTGTCATAAATCACTACATGCTGACAGGACAAATACAGTTTACCGTAATAAGAAACCTGTTTCTTTCCCTTGTATTGACTTTGTAAACGTGTTAAATGATTGTGTCCAATAAATCATTCATGCCACAGGCTTGATGAGTGTCATTAGTTTCTATTTACCACTTTACTGCTGACCAAACTGACGTCTGTAAAAATATTTATTGACTCCAGGCTAGTTTAAAAGCAAAAAGTCCTGTACATAGTGCTTTAAAACTTAATCACATGCAAATATAAATACCAATAGTTCTCAAACATTTAATTACAAACAAAGGCTATGTGAGTTTCAGATAAATTTCTAGTATAGTATAGAAATAGATCAAAATCTCCTTGCATAAGGTCTGGCAGTACAAAGGATATCGCAAAAAATAAAATTCATGATGCCACCTCTTCCATGAATGTGGATATTTTATACTTTTCCACTTTCTAAGTCTTGAAATGCACAAGAGTGTTTTTTCACATTTCTAGAAGATAAAAATGAGTAGATACTGCTTTCTGAATAATGGAAAAAGATGTCACGGCTACCACTTTAGTCCTCGTGGCTTAAAAAGTCCAAGAATATTTTTTGTAGTACAGAACAGATGTACACAACACAATCTTGTTTTGGAAATCCCAGATTTCTCCACAGCAGTGCATTAACAAAATATAATCTTTTTCATCCACTTACCTATTCTTCCTGCATGCCCTCCAGATAAAATTTGAATAGGAAACTCACGAATTTAAAGCATCTCCTACTTAAAATTATCACTCACTTTGGTCCCAGCTCTCTTTAGCCCACCCTTAGTAAACCTATTCTGCCAAGGACACACCAAGTGAACCAGAGCAGGACGCTGAGCAAAGAACTACTTGCAGGCACCAGAATTATGCTGTGTTGCTCCCATGCTGCACCTTTCATTCCTTTGTTGGATGGTAAGCACTTAAGGACAAAGGACTTGCCTTGTTCTTGCCTATTAAGTACGTAGCACTTTTTATTCATTTGGAAGCTTTATTTATAAGTGAAAAAGCGGTAACAAAACCATCCTTCATGAATGCTTTCAGTTCTTCTGGAGGAGGACAGAATGAGGACAGCTTATCAAGAGGGATAATTTTGGCCTGAACAGTTTATTTTTCCTGCAATTTTTCAGCAGAATTGAGAGAAAATCACAATGTAACATTGCCGGCCTCGTTTACCTTCCTCAGAGAGCTGGAGTATCGCTTACAGCACCAAGCAGGGTTAAAAAAAAGTGGTAACAAGCAGCCTGGCTCTTTGTCTCCTCTGTCCACTCTTCTGCAAAATGCAGAACTTCTCTGATATTCACCACTCAAAGGGGCAAACAAGGGACCACACAGTAGCAGAGGCAAGAAACTAACTCATACAATCAGCTCTGCGGACCCCCAGTCACTCAAGGACTACAATGGGATTTGGATCAGTCCTGAAACTACAGAGGTTAACCATATTTTATATAAAGGACCATGAGTTACTCAAAATGCAGCATCTGGTGACTATCTAAAACGAAACAATTTAAGTAATTAGCTCCCTAAAAACCATGAGACTAACCCAGTTGCACAAAACAATAGAGCCCTAGTAGAGCACTTGACACTTAAGAAAATATTCACCTCTGTTACAATTTCCTGGTTTTAATCACTGAAATTCTCAGGGCCTGCATAAACCTCTAGTGTTTCATTTACTAAACAAGAGAGGAAACATGCTATGATGAAACCAGTGTGATAGCAAAGACATATTCTTCTTCACAGTGTTATTGGGAGAATAAATACATCAAAGCCTGTGATTTAGCCAGATACTATGATAATGGGGGTAACAGGAGGCCATGGTCATTAATCCAGATCTATGGACATGTTTGAGATGACTCAAAAAACACAGTACTGCATTTGTCACATTTTGCCAGATTATAACACACAATACAGAATCGCCAGGAGAGTACACAACACCTGACACAGTAAAAAAATTAGAATGCCATGGAGAGGCAGTATCTCATCTGTCAATATAAAGCTAAGGTGTCTAATTTTTTAAACATGTTTGAACTATCAAAGTGAGTTTACACCAGATCAGCATTTAATACCAGAGGGCTACAGTGTTTCTTATCTGGCATTAAGCATCCTAAAGCCATATTTACTATATGGTGAATCCACAGCCTAGATAAGTACACACAATTCCTTTGTATCTTTCAGAGTTTCTACTTAATAAAAGAAAAAAGAAAACAAATCATTTTGTTTTATAGCTACTTATGATTTCACACACTTGAAAGCGCTTTAAATGTCTAAAAACATGCCTAAGAATTTTTCCTGGTTGGCAATACATTAGAGCGCCTCACATTACGCATCCCAGTGGCAACAACTGATAATAAATTCTTACTTCTTAAAGCCATTGGTAAAGATTCATGTTATGTTTTTCATTCTAGAATATTCGGCACATAAGCTGCACAACATTCAATTTCCATGTCAATATAGGTTTACGAATGTTGAGAACCTTGCTAGCTAAACAAACATGACTTTTTTAATTAAAAAAATCAACTGATTATGAATATAAGCTCTATTAGCTGTTGGCTATGGAATGATTCAAACAAGAATGGACTCTGAAAGCATTAAAAAACCCCTAATGTAGCAAATAACCAGAATGAATGGCTGCTGCATTTTACAATGCTGTATTTTACAAGGTATACAAGTTATGTCATGCTGTTTATCTTGTGTGGATTACTTATTTTTACACAAAATACACATTTACATTTAGGTTGACCTAAATTTCGGAAAAAGTTGATAACGAAAATCTTACGAGTTCTTCCTTATGAGGTTTTCATTTCATTTTCCATCTAACAAGAAGTAAGATATATTCCCAAGAAACCTTGGTCAGTGTTTGAAATCAGAGAACCCCTTTAAAACACTTGTAGATCTGAGAAAATTCTGGCACTGTAGGATTTAATCTTGTAAGTGGGTGCAATGATGAGATTCTCTCATGAACCCAACCTTTCTGACAACTCAGTTTACAGCTATATTAACAAACAATGTGGCATAGCAAGATCCTATCCATGGAGCAAAGATGCTGTCTCTGAGGACTTGATGTACTCTGGTCAGTATTTGAAATTAAAGTCTGGGAAAGAAGGCTATATTGAACTAAATTTGATGTAGTTCAGTGGATTGAACACCTGATGATTAAAGAAAATTAGATATCCTTCTGGAATGCACCTTCTGTTTTCATTGCAGCCAAAACCAATCCAGCTGACACAGCCTGAGATTCACTCTGCAATAAGCAAGTGTGCTAAGTGGAAATAATTAACAGATTCATTTCAAAAGCAGACTCTTTACTGAAACCAAAATGCTAATGTGCTTAATATATGCTTATTAATGACTCTACTTAGACACTACTGCAATAAAGGCAGAGTAAAGGACAGGGGGAAACTATATGTCGAAGTGCGCACTACTTACTTTTACTATATCTGAACGGATCTGCAAAGGTTTTTGTATATACAGCAATTAAAGCCTGAAAAGTCTCATGCTCCTTCAGGTCATCTGGTTCATTCTCAGCTACCCATAACCTGCAGCAATCTTTGCCTGTAATGCATTTTTGAGCTATTATTTTGCATAATATAAACACGATAATGAAATCCAGTCCAAGACGTAATAAATATGGTCTTAAAACTCTATGAGTATTTTCAGTCGCTGAATGTGTATACCAAAGAATCCAGCTTCGCAAACCTGTGCAGACGATTCACCTGTGTCATTATTTTTATATCCTTAGGTTATAGTACTATTGATCCCACTTCTCTGGCATTAACTTTAGACAATAAATGATTGTAGAAACTGTTAAGAAGAAAGAAAGGAGAATCACTTGGGAACATAGGCTTAGGGACACTGTATAATTTTCAGAACTGCTGAAAATCTGTGATGGTCATGAGCTTTAACGGGAGTTCCTGGGCTCTTAATCTCTTTTGAAAATCATATTTTTATGTATACATAAACACATAGTAGTGGAATTTTTTAATTTAATGATTAATTTAAATAGGAACTAAGTGCCTTATCTGTTTAAGCACTTTTGAAAATCCCACTGTACTTCCATCTGCAGTTTTCACAGCATAAATACTTTGGAAAACCTGCTCCAAAAGTAATCTAGAAGTTCAAATGTTACAAAACCCACTTCAGAGGACCTTAACTTTTACCACACAATTTTAAACAAAAGCCTCATGGGGGAAAGAAACTCACAAAGACAAAGCTAGATAAAAGAAAGACAGAAGAAAAGGGGGTTTTTTTGACACTGCAAAAGAATGAAAAAGTCCTGCCTCTCTTCAATTGTTACTGATCAGAATATCTGGGTCTGCAGCCCTCTTTATACTTCTCATATCCTGCTGAGGCTAAGGTCATTTCAGATCATTGAATAGCCTTAAGTAAACATAGTTTCTAGACTTATCTTGACACCTTCATTTTCATGTTCACTACAATATGATCCACGACAAGGCAAAGTTCATTGTTAAATGTATCTGAATTCACTGTCTAGGTCAGATGGACTGGAATATCCTAGCTCTGTATCTATTATTAATAATCGTTTAAATTTTATTATTAACTTTATTTGAGCAGCTTCTATGAATTTGGAAAACGACTGATGGATTGATGTGCTGTCATAAAGTACCTCACATTCCCTGAAGATGAGGTTCCATTTTCAACTATTCCAATACTTACTGGAGGGAAAACATCAGAAAATGTATGACAGCATGTCTGTAAGACACACACTCATTTTCTGTGAAATGTATCATGATACAAAACCAGAATGGATTCATTGATATTTAAATAGACATAAAAATCATCTTCATATGAGATGTCTGCCTGATGGAGCAGCAATTTGCTTTAATTTGCAGCACTAAGATTCACAGTTCACTAAACCATTAAAATACAGACAAAATGCCATG